ACCTGGACATACTGCCAGTGTTAGGACACCCCCCCCTCTTTTTCAGACAGTTTACATGCACTGCCCCTACAAAGCCACCCCCACCCCGCAGAACCCTGGCTTCACCTTCAGGACTGAGTTAAGCTTGGTCCCAATGTGGTGTGAATTCTTATCACCATGGATTGGAAGCACTTGCTGAGTGGCTCTGTCTCCCATACCAGAGTGTGTGAGAGGAAGGAATGAGCATTGACCCTCTGGCAGGTGCAGAGGCTATGTGGAGTTAGTGCTTGCTGAATTAATGAATGCATGGGTGGATGAGTTTAACCCAAAGAGGGGGTGCGGCTATAGCGGGAGATCCGATGATGGTCTTTAATCTCGGAAACCTCTCTCCTTAGAAAAAAAAAAACAAAACAGCAGCATTGCATGGAAGAACAAGGCCCTTTCAACATGTACACCATGCCACATCACAGGAATTAACCTTCTACCTCCCCTTCCACTTCTTGGCCACTGACTCCCAAAACCACCTGACAAACCAAAGGTCAGAAGCTTGGGGCAGCTGAGGGCAAAGATGACTCCCAGATCTTTTTTTAAATTTTATCTATGTTTTATGTATGTGCATTCTGCATGCCATAGGGCATCAGATCCTATTATAGATGATTGTAGCCACCATGTGGGTGCTGGGAATTGAACTCAGGACCTCTGGAAGAGCATCCAGTGCTCTTAACCACTGAGCCACCTTTCCAGTCCCAACTCCCTGATCTTTATGAGCAAGTCAACATTCCTCATATGTCCCCCTTCCAGTGCACCCCACAGTTTGATCCAAAACATTCATGCAATGGTAAAGGTCCCGTGGGGGCAAGTCAAGCGTGCAGGGTGTGCCTAAGGACTCTTCCAATAGCAATCAGAAACGAACCAAAAAGCCGCTTCTGGGGAGGCTGGAGGGGGCCATGGAAATACACCACAAGGTTCAGGGAGGGGAGCGAGAGGACTGGAACTGTAGTAAGAACTCAGAAAATCTCAGTGAGCCAGACTGCCCAGGAATGCAAGCCTTCGGGTCCCATTTCTACACATACAATCGTATTTTATTCACACAGACACCCTCACTCCCCTCTAAGACACAAGCCTTGCCCTGGGCTCTGGCTCTCCTGGAGGGGGGCCTCTAATGAAATTACAAGAAATGTCTCAGTGGCCAAACTGCGCAAGCTGGCAGAAGGGATACGCTTCTCTGAAACCAGCTCCCTTCATCTGGACACAGCAGACATTTAGAAGTGTGGAAGGACTTCCAAGAGCAGAATCATTGAACCAGGAAGGGCGTCTTTATTACCTATCAAAGAGAGCTGTCCACATTCTATTCCACTTGAAAAAAAATGTGTGTGTGTGTTATATACACTTAGATTCATAGAATCCTAGAAAGCTAAGGACTCCGACTATGTCCAATCCCCTCATTCTAGAGAAAGTGAACCCCAGTGAGGGAGGGATCAGGACTTGCCAGAGATCCTAGATCTCTCCCAGCAAAGACTCCACAGTTATTCCGTAGCTCTGGAAGGGGTGTTCATAGAGATGCCTGTCCAAGGGACAGGACCAGAAGGACTGGCTTCAACTTGCAAGCAAAAGAACCTAACAGAGACACAGCGAAGAATTCCCGAGTACAAGAATGGGCAACAGGCTTGGGTCCTACCCAGGATGGCGCCTGATCGTTGTGCTGCACCTCCCGGGACACCGCTCTGACATCGGTCAGCCTCTTTGAGAGTTCGAGATATTCAAGGTCCTTTTCTCCGAGCCGGCGCCATGGCCGGCGGCTGAGGGAACTTGAGAGGCCAGCCCTGGAACAGGTGCAACAGCTGGAGCAACTGCGCAGCTGTCTCGGGGCTTGCTGCTTCAAGCCAGTGAGTGAGGCAGAGACCTCTACTGGTGGGAGCAGGGAGGTACAGAACCTTGTGGTTAGAGACACAGACTCGGGGTCTTCCCTTCCCTGCTCCCCACCGGGTCATGCACATCTGGACAGATGGATAGAGATGTGACCAAGCTGGACAGCAGGGCAGGATTCCATGTTGCTAAGTATTCCAGGTACATATTTCTCTAGACCGTTCCAGGCACGTTTTCCTGGGAATTGCTCGTTTATTCCTTCCCACAGGACAGAGTACCTACATTCTCCCAACTCCCACTCCCAAAGTCAAGTGGACTTAGGATGAAGACAGGCAGTTAATGCTACCCTGGTCCTCAAACGTCACCTAAGCGCAAGCATCTTACCTCACAGGTGGCAGAGGCAGGGAAGGACACGGTGCCTGAGGTTAGATTTTGGCATCAGGGAAAGAGCAAGTGTTGCTACCCTGACATTCTGAGGGTGAGTTTGCCTTTGGAATCACACCACAACTGAGGAACCACCCTTCTGTCCAGGCCTCTTCCGGGGTCTGAGAATCCATCACCTGGGAACCAAAACTCCAATTCCCATTAGACGCAAACTCCAGAGGGCTGATGTCTTACTTGGTAATCAGCTAGTCTCCCGAAAGCAGCATAGAAGAGAAGCCTGAAGCTAGATGGATTATAAGGATACAATGCAGAGAGAAGCAAGTGCTGGAGAAGGCACTGGAGAGGAGTAAAGAATGGGGCCACTTCTGGGTCACAGAGGGGATGAATGACCACACAGATGTGACCACACATGTGACGAGTCCACCTGGGGCTTGGGTCAGCACAGGCAGAACTAGGCCAGAGCCTCCAGCCTGTGTGAAAATGGGATACAGCCCATGGTGAGGCTGGGCAGTTAGGGTTCAGCTTATGGCCTATCTGAGACTCAGTCTGGATCTGTGGGTAGAGCCGAAAAGAGAATAAAGAACTTCTGATGAGCAGCCTTGGACTTCAACTAAAGAGTGTGCCAAAACCCCCCACTCACAGGCTCCAGCCATGTTTCAGGCTGTAACCACCTTGGAAGTCCATCCCGCACACACCCGAGAACACCCATCTGTCGGCACCATTTGTAAAAGCACTTTGGAGTTACCAGGAGACTTCACACACACCACATGCTTGAGATCTCTCTTACACTAAGACAAGACTTTTCATATGAGACCTTAAGACAGGATGCTGGCAGGAGACTTGCAATGATGACAAAATCCACAGACCAAGAGCACCAATCAACCTTAGGCTCAGTGACAGGTGAAGGTGTCCCAACACACGTGACCAATACATGACAGAGCTGGGGTTAGGATCTAGGTCTCTGTTCCTTTCTCCATGGCTCAGTAGTAGTCCCCCCTTTCAGCTTGACTCTAAAAATAGGTAATTTGATGGCTAGACACAGAAGAGAAAGCTCTCCCAGCCTTAACGCCAGGATCCCAATGCTCCTCCCTGAATGCCAGGTCACCTAAATGACGGTCATTTTCTTGAGTGTCTGGAGCTTTGTATAGACAGGGCTATGGAGGGACCTGGGGACAGATACAGATTAGAAGGCCAGTGGAGGCACAGGGGGCCTGGGGGGAGGGGTCATCAGGCAAAGGTGATTGTAAAGCTCAAAAGGGCTGGTGGTCATGTGGGGTAGCAGAGGCTTCGAATAGTTCCTGGGTCATCCTCAGAGTGGACCTCCCAGGGCACTGATATTGGGAAGGGAGCTGTGGGGCCAAGGCCAGGGCAGACACAGAGGTCCTCTGAGACTGTCTCTTTTGGTGGACAAGCAAGCAGACAAGGAGGAAGTCCTCAAGGTTCAAGGAAGGAGCGAGGACATTTACTGAGTATTTGGCATCTTGCTAGGCATTTGAAAGCACTATTCCCTTGAATCCTTCCCCAAACCCTTCAGACCCTTGGTTAGTAGCTCTCTTTTGCAGATGAAGAAACCGAGGCTCACAGGTTTGAAAAGCAACACCGGTGTAAGAGGCAGGGTCAAGGCTTGAACCCAACTCTGAACACTCCCGTTCACGAGGACATCTACAAATCTCCAGCCTCCGGCAGGCTAGGGAACATCAGACAGACATGCAACCTTCCACTCACCAGAACAAACAAGACAGCAACCAGCCTCACCAGCTCCACAAAATCTGGGAGTGAGAGGGAAGCAGAGCTGACCTGCAGAGCTGTGTGGAGATTGAAGGTTCTCAGCTAGGAGGTAGGAAGCTGGGGTCTTCAAACCAGGCTCTGCCCCTGCGGCCTGGAGCAAACCACTGCCCCTAGTTGGTCCCTGTTTCTTTATTAAGGGAGTTCAGAAGGGATTACCAGTTTAAGGGGGCTGTGGGCCTACATAACCTGCTTGAGGGTTACATTGTTTTTGAAGAGGAAACTCCGGCGTTATTCTTCGGGGAAGCTACCTCGCAAAACATCACTCTGCAAGTTGTCCTGCATGCTCTGTCATTTAATACTCAGAACGGTTTTAGGAGTCTCACGTTTTATAGATTAGAAAAGAGACAGTGAGGTTCCTTCCGCGTCTGACTCCCACTGGATAGTATTCAGTGGGGCTGAGAAGATGAAAACACTCATCTAGTTTACCAAGTCCCGATGCCTTCCAGCGTCTCCCAGCTCCACACCACGGTGCCTTCCAGGCACTGCGAGGCAGGCTTTGGAATTAGAGTCCCGGCTATGGATGGTTCACAAGCTTCGGGTAACTTTCTCCTCTTTGCCCCGCTACGTTTACTCCTCTGTTAAAAGTGAGTGATGGCACCTCCCTGCAATATTGTGAGCGTCCGGAAAGAAAAAGGACTAGAAAGGTCACCCTGCTTTGTTCATCTTTCTGTCCAAGAGCTCTTCCACACAACAGCCTTTCTCTCTTCATCACACACTCCTTTCCTGCGGCAACACACCGGGCTGCTGGGAACACAGTCCCTTTCCACAATGCGCAGTGCCTGCCCTGTGCAGGGCAGCATCTCCCCTACCCCGCGTGGAGTTTGCCAAGCCCTTGTCTTCCCACAGACTCAGCAGCCCACATTGGTCTCAGACTTCCTGCTATGCAGGTGCTGCCTGAATGAATTCATGAACCAGGGCTCCCTGTATCCCAGTGGTCTCCATCCCACCCCTGCCTGCCCAGACTCTGCCTCGTTTCTACTTACGGGCTCGGGCTTGCGAGTCCAAGGGGAACCAGAGCATCACGAGTCCCAGCAAAGAGGAGAAGATTCTCACCCCGGGAACCATCCTTCTTTGCCCCAAGGTCAGACAACCCCGGGATGAGCCGGGAGAAAGTAAGACTCTGAGAGGAACGTAAAAGTTCCCAGGACCAAGTAGGACCACTGCCTAAGGAGTCAAAGAAGTAAAGATGAAGAGGAGCCAAGGACAGGAGAGGTCTCAGGTGGGGATGAGAGGACAGTAGGAAGGGGACAAGGAGAAAAGGGAGAGAGATGGAGAGATGGGAGATGAGGAGTTAGAGGAAGGTCCGGCAGGAGGGAAAAGCGATGGCAGAAAGGGAGAAGGCGCTAGCTAGAGAACCGGGGTCTGCGGGGCGCGCGTGGCTCTCGGGGTTCGGTGCTCGGGTGGCGCTGGCTGGCGGCGGTGCGGCGGTGCGGACTCTGGCACGGACCAGCGGCGCGATGGGACTGCAGGACCCTCGGCGGCGGCGCGGGAGAGGCTGAGCGAGGCCGCTGTGCACGCTTCGGGCTCCAGACGCCGTGCATTTGTACTTTGCCGCGGGAAGCCTGCAGCCCCGGGCCGGCCTAGCTCTGGCGCCTCCTCTAAGGCACCGCGAGCTCGTGGATTGGCCACCCGAGAAACAAGCCCATTTTTCCCCTCCCCTCTTGCATAGGGCTCCGAACCTCCGCTCCCAGGCGAGGCGCCGAGTGGAGACGAGGGGTCTGCGGAGGGGAAAGGGACCACTGGGTTTTAATCCCTGTCTCCTCTGCAAGGGGACACAGCCCAGTTACATTTCAGGTGGAAGTAGGCTGGGGTTCGAGTGGGGACGAGTCTGGGAAAACTCAGGATTGGGTGCTTGGTGGGGAGTGCAGAAACACTTGCCTTTCTTAACACAGTTAGTGGTTTTGGGCATACCACCTGGGAAGGACACTTTCTCCCTAGCACTAAAATGAAGGTTTCGGTGACTTTTAAGATCTTCAGTATCGTCTTGCAAATGTTGCAAAGTATCAGATGAGATTAGGAGCATCAAAGCACTCCGAGTTGGGAGCAAAGCCATGCTATCACCATTTCAGGTACCTGGATTCTCCAGTCTCCAGGCGGTGGTCCCAAGCGCCATCCCCTGGTTGAGAGCTAAGCTCTGCCTGCACAGGTGAAGTCCCGCCGCTCTCCCATGTGTCAGTGACAGCCGGATGCCAGAACCTTGTCGTTCACGCCGACCCAGAACCCCAGCAACCCAGACAGGCTGTGCTTCCAGACCTCATGTTGAATGAGCTCCTGAGCTAATAGGACCCTAAGAAGAGAACCAGCTCTGCCCACACCAGAGCACCCAGGATCCGCAGCGAATGGGCAGACGCAAGGTCCCGGCCCCATCCACATCTTGCTGGGGCGCTGTGGGTAAACACAGCCTTCCTAACTTTGGACCTTGGCTTCCTGAGGTTCTACTTGAACTCTTAGCAGAGTCTCAGGGAGACCAGGAAACAGATAAGAAAAGAGAAGAGGTGGCGGGCCAAACCCCACTCTGGCAGAGAATCTGATTGCCAGGTTCAGACAGTGAAGGGCAGGAATAAGTCTGGGCTCCCTGTCCCCCTGTGTCGTCACCTCCTCATCCCAATGAGCAGTGGGAGGAACCAATGACCCAGGAGTCCCCTTCTCAGGGCTCTCAGAATGAAGACACAAACACCGACTTCCCCCAGTACCCCTCAGACTTGACTTTCTCTCCATCACAACCGGCCTTCTCTCCTTCCTCCGGGGTAGAGGGTTAAGCGCACCTCTTTGCTCTGTCTTTGGTAACATGAGCTCTGCACCCATCTTAATGTCTTAGGCTACAAGAAGCTCTAAACCTTTACCAACCACTGCATCCCCCAAGTGACCCTGCATTTTTCTCGCCTCTGTATCTTTGTGCGCGTTTTCCTTCTGCTAAATCAGTTTCCTTTTGCTTCTCAATCTTGGCCCTTGAGCAAAGTAGACCAGCACTTTCTGGTTTTAGCTCCTGGCTTGTCAAGTTGTCCCAGCTGGCTTCAATGATCCTCCCTGCCTCAGCCCCCTATTGACTAGGAAAATAAGTCTGCATCCCGGTGCTGGAAGTTTCTGTGACCTCAAGCTGCTTGTTTCTTTTTGCCGTGCGTTTTTTTGGCGTGTTCACACTTGGGCACTGTGTGCACACCTGTGTATGCTGGTGCACATACCTCTGCACTTGCATGTTATGGCCAGAAGAGGGCAGCTGTTGCCTCACTGCCGTCTTACCCAGCTAATTCCAGGGATCCTTCTGTCATCACTGGGGTTACAAGCTTTAACAGCTACACACAGCTTTTTGATGTGAATCCCAGGGATTTGAAGTCAGGGCCTCATGTCTGCCCAACTAAGCCATGTCCCTAGCTTCCCATTTTAAGTTACCATCTTCCTGCCTTTGCCTCTAAGTGCTGTGGCTGTAGGGATCACTACCATGCTCAGCTGGAGATGGGACAGGGCTTCCTGCATGGTAGGTAGGTAGGCACCCTAACTTAGCAACGCCATCTCTGGGGACTTCACTGAGTTCTCCCAGACAAAAGTTTTTCTTTTTAATTTTTGTCTTGCTGCAGTCGGGGCTCAAACCTGGGGCTTTCTAGGGCTTTGCTAGGCAAGGGCTCTAGTAAATTCTCAACCTTTGTGTGGAGTGTAAATTTATGCAAAATTTATTTGCATTTCATCCTGCACTGTGAGGAAGATGCCCTTTTCACTTCTGTAGCTATTTTGAGTGCTATGAAAACCTTTGATTCACAATGACACCGAATAAACATGGCTGAACGCATGAGCAAGAACAAGGGTGACTTCGAAAGACATTACTCTTTCATCTGAATACATGAAGCACCCACTGGCCTCAGCCTTAATCACAAATGTTCAGCACTAAGGTTCTTGCCAAGCATGTGCAAGGCCTTTGGTTTTTTACCTCAGCGCATATTACTACAGTCTGCTTTAAAAGGCCTCCAGTCCTTAAAAACCATGATACTTTAATAGTCTCCAACCTCTTAACTCTACACTCCCATGAGCGTACTTCCAACGTATTTGGTCCAAGTGGACATTCTTGTTCCAAAGGAGAAAAATACAAGGCCAAAGCGAATGAGCAATCATAACAAAGTATAATCAAGCCCAAGAGGGAAAACAACAAAGCTTGCAGCTTCAAAGACCACCATCTGGATTCTTCTGGACTCCAGAGAGTTGGTAGCAAAGTCCCTTGAGGAATACTTAGTTTTTTTTTTAAATGTCTCGTATGGTAATATACATTCACAACACTTAACCATTAATATGATCTCAATTGATGTTATATTACATGATAAAGAAACAGAAGAAAGAAAGCCATAAATACCGACTTAATATGTTTACAAATAATTCCTGATAGGTAGGACAAAAGCATTCATGTCGTTGCAGTTCTCATGTCTGTAACTGGTCATGTGACCTCGGTGGAAATTTATAAGTTCATCTGCTACTGCTTGCTCTGTACCTCCCCCACCCTTAGCGAGCGCTTTCGTGAGGTTTCATGAGCTTTCGTGAGCTTTCGTGAGGGTGAAATCATGCTTTCACTCAAAGGGTCTGGGCCTGCTGTCATCGTGTCTGGACTGGACAGTTGTAGCTTCCAATTGGCCTGGATCCTCCCTGAAGGATCTCTTGCACCGCAGACATACTCTTCCTTACCCCCTTATGAAGAAACAGTCCAGTTCCTCCCTGGTAGTCTGGGTCAATCAGTCCTTCTAACACGGTTGTTCCTTCCTTAGCTGGCTCAAGAACACCAGGAGCCCCAAAGGGCCAAGTCCTCACTTCAGTTCAGTGAAATATTTGGTGGGGCTCCTGGTAGAAGCATTCCTCCATCTAAAACCAAAACTTCCAGGCTTACAGAGCATGAGGTCACAGGAACAGGAAGCAAACAGCTTCCTAATAGGCTACTGGGGTGATTGTGAGTGGAACCACCGCCATTTCTTCCCCTTGATTCCTGGACCTGTGAATCCCAGCTGTAGGAGAAACAGTACTAAATATTGGACACTGATTCAAAGCATATACAGACATCTGGAAAGCCCTGCCCAAACACGCCAAGCTATAGCCACCCAACTGACACTTTAACTGTATCTTTACTTTATAATATTTAATGATTATTATTATTTTACATGTACGAGTATTTTGCATGCATGTATGTCTGTGCGCCATATGTACATACATACGGTGCCCAGGGAGGCCAGAAGAGGGTTGGCCTCTTACAGACAGTTGTGAACCATACTTTGGGTGCTGGGAATCAAACTTAGGTCTTCTGATAGAACAGCCATTTAATTCTTCCCTGAATGTCTTTCTCACTAATTTCTCAATCTTGCTCCTTCTAAATCCCTGACTATCTAGCCAATCTATTGGCTATAGCCCATTGATCAGTGAAAAATCGCATATGTGTAAATGTCTCTGTCTAAGCAAACACACCGATCTGTTTGATCACCAGTGTCCTTTATGGTTGTTCTGGAAAGGGCCTGTGATGCAGCAGCTGTCTACTTCAGGGTGATGCCTGCATGGCATGCAGAACCACCAGTAGCTGGGTGAAGTGGTGCACGCCTTTATCCCAGCACTTGGGAGGCAGAGGCCAGTTAGATCTCTGAGCTCAAGGTCAACCTGGTCTACAGAGTGGGTTCCAGGACAGTCAGAGCTGCATCGTGAGACCCTGTCTGGGGGAAAGAACAGCCAGTAAACCAGGGTATAGTTTTTTCTTCAGTTAACTGATCACAGGGCATATCCTACAGGGCCATAGTGGATGGTCAGAGACAGACAACATTGTAAGAGACATAGGAACCATAGGCATTTGGGAAACTTCCTGTAACTGGCTTGTGCCCTCTGAAACCTCACAAGACACATTTCCATTTGTCTGTGATGCTTTCCGTGTGATCCTCCAGTTTCCCACAGTAGCTCACTAAACTGTGAGCCCTCAATGATGTCTTCAGCCCAAAGCTCCAAGACCCTTCCACAATCCTCCCCAAAACATTCCAGTCAGTTCCATCACAGCAACACTCTGCTTATGATAGGTTGCTAAAATTCCTCCCCAGGGATAGAGACGGTCTCATTCCCTTCTCCAAGGTCCCAATGACAAACCAAAGTACGATTCCACCAAAGTTCACCCAGGGAAGCCAGTGAGTTTCTTAGGCTTATTTACAGAGCAATGTTGAGGGGTTATGGGCAGGAACACAGGTGACCTTAAAGCAGCCATACTGGAAAGTCAGTAGCCAGCAGGGATGATGGCTTCCCTGTGGCTGCAAAGATGGAACCCCCTCTTCACCCTTTCCCATCTATAGCCATCCACTACCCATGCTGAAATATAGACTACATTGATTTGGAGCAGATATTGCTTAGCAAGCACAGCTGTTGAGAGTTCGTGCAGCAGCTGCCTGCCAGAAGACAGTTTTGCAGGTGTTCTTTCTGGCCTCTGGCGTTTACAATCTATTTCCTGAGCCTCAGGAGGAGGGCCTGTGATGGAGATGTCCCATTTGAGGACAAGCAGTCACTTCTGTCCACTGCAAGAAGCTTCTCTGGAAAGGGGGGGTCAGCTGGACTAACATATGGGTATAAGAAT